TTATAAATAAATTTGAAAAAAAAAATTGTTTAATTAGTTGTTAGTACGATTTGGAGCTTATATTAATATAATATTTAAAATAAAATAATTATAGTTGTTTTGATGTAAAAATAGGGGATATATAAAAATAGGGGATATAATGTGGAGTGATGGTTAGTCAAAATTATGTGAGTAAGGGGTCGTTTACTTCGGGGGATTGGGATAAGATAAGGGAAATAATCCCGGCTATCTCACGTTTACTCTGCGGGAAAGGGATAGTATTAATATGACCTGGCGTCCATGTGGCACGCGCTAATCCGTGAATCCCAGATAGAAAAATCCCGCCTCCCCACGTGACAATTTTATCTCGTTTTTATCCTACCAATTTTTCCCTCAAATTTTGGTGTAAATCGACAAAAATACTCCTTATTTTCGTTGAATTTACAATTTTATTACAAATAAAATAGAAAAATCGGGCATTTGCCCTAGCTGCATAGTGAAAGTTGCAACGCCATTGTTGCTGAGAAGTTGAAGCTTTTGAATCTTAAGATGAGCTCCTCTCTTGTTTCTACTCTCATTTTCAAATTCGATTTCATTCGATTTGTCGCAACATTCGGGGAACAAAAATTGAAGACGAGCAATTTGCCCCTATGTTCTGCAGAAACGAAGACGAGCAATTTGCCTTAGCTTCGGATTTTCCGTCGCGTCTACAAGTGAGCTCCAAATCGCCATTTTACCTTCTGAATTTCGCTTTTCCATGCGTCCATCGATTTGGAAAATCTGGCATTTTGCCCTATTTGCAGGGAGATCGTCGCCATTGTTACATAATAGGCTTGAGCTTCGGTTTTCTCGTCGTGTTGAAGATGAGCCCCTTTTAATCGCCATGACTTCACTTTTTTTTTAAGTTTGATTTATTCGGCCATTTTTGTCAAATCGACCAATTGTTGTAAAATCGAGCATTGAAGAACCCTAGTTACTGCAGAAACGAAGACGCCATTCTCGTCAAGGTGTAAGCTTCGAATCCTCCATCGGTCCTAAAGGTGAGCTCCACAATCGCCACAATAACCTTTTCAGTTTCAATTTATGTCCACTTTTCTAAAAATGTTTTTTTGGGTTTGTTTTTTTCGAAATGTTTGTTTCTCTATTAATACACCTCCATCTCCCGTCGGCTATAGTTGTGAGCTTTTTTCTCCCTCACCGGTAAAGGTAAAAACACTAACCTTCTTAGTATTGGTTAGATGTGGTTCATGGTCTCTGTTTGTTGTGGTACAGTATTGATGACTCATTTGTTTTAATTTGTACATTATTATGCTTCCAGTTGTGACTGTTTTGGCTGGTTCATGGAATTGTGATTGTTGTGATTTGCTTAATTGTGCATGAAATACTTATTGACCATTTGCAGGGACTATAACCTCTTTATATCTATATGGTGGTAGTTCTGAAAATGTGAAAGGCAAATGCCTATAAATGTTGTTTTATGGAGCCTAAATTGATTGTTGGTGAGAAATGTGTGGCACTTTTCTGTGTATCCTTGCACAGAACTTATTAAGTTGCTGAGAATTGTGTGGCATTCGTACAGTATTAGGATTTCAATTGTGACTGTTTTAGCTAGTCCATGGATTTGTGATTTGTGTGATTTGTTAATTGTGCTTAATTTGTTCTAATTGTGTTTGGTACAAAACGAAGGCAAATATATAAAATTATGCTTGATCTGGTGCTTTGTTTTAATTATTTTCTTAACTGATATGTCATTTATTATGCTTTGTCTTGAGTAATTAACTGATATGTCATTTACTATACTTTGTCTTGAGTAATGACATACATCACATGGAGTGGCATGATTGAATGTCTCAGTATAAGATCAAATGGATTATCAGAACATCTGATCTTATACACTGTAATATATGGGGACCTTTTGCTGTTACATCTCACTCTGGACCTTTTTCTATTACAAGTGGCTGGAGCTATCATGTTTCATGCTTCATTGCCCTTACCTTTCTGGTTTGATTGCATACTAGGTGCTGCTCATATCATTAATAGAGCACCTTATTCTGTTTTGAACAACATGTATCCTTATGAACTGTTTTACAAGAAACTACCTTCATATGGTCACTTAAGAGTTCTTGGTTGCCTCTGTTTTGCATCTGGGACATGCCACTGTCCTACATAATCATATCTTTCCACTGCATCATTGTCTCCATGTCATGCATGTTTTACCTCTTCTAAATCCCAAATAACTAAGCCTAAAACATATTCCCAGGCAGTTAAGGATCCACAATGGCAGGATGCCATGAATAAAGAACTTATAGAACAAAAAAACAGTTGGACCTTAACTGACCTACCTGTTGGCAAACATTGTATAGGCTGCAAATGGATATATAAGGTAAAATATAAATCTGATGGAACATTATAAAGCTTTTGGACATTAATTTGTCCACAAGGGGCAGCTTTGCCTTTCCTTCTTATTTTTCACTTATGAATTTGTCTCAATTTAGACCACACATGGGCACAATAGTGGTGGTTTCAACAAATTTGCTTGTTGTAGTCCTTAAATGCAAGTCAATTATGTGTTACTATCAAAGTATTGTCTAATGTCTATACAAGTTACCTTTTACTGGGAAAATCTATTGAAACCAGGTTTACAAGTCCATTTGCATGAAATAGTTATTGACTATTTGCATGGACTATACCCTCTCTATATTTGTATGTTGGTAGTTCTGAAAATGTGAAAGGCAAATGCCTATAAGTGTTGTTTTATGGAGCATAATTTGATTGTTGGTGAGAATTGTGTGGCATTTGTACAATATTATTAAGTTGGTGAGAATTGTGTGCCATTTGTACGTGATTATGATTTCAGTTTTAACTGCTTTAGCTGGTTCATGGATTTGTGATTGGTGTGATTTGCTTAATCGTATTTAATTTGTTCTAATTGTGTTTGTACAAAATGAAGGCAAGTATATAAAAGCATGTTGTTACACATGACTGCTTGATCTGATGATTCGTTTTAATTATTTTCTTAACTGATATGTCATTTACATATCAGCAAAGGACATTAATTTGTCCACAACTGCTTGATCTGGTGCTTTATTTTAATTATTTTCTTAACTCATATGTCATTTACATATCATGAAAGGACATTAATTTGTCCACAAGGGCAACTTTTTCTTTCCTTCTTATTTTTCACTTCTTCATTTGTGTCAATTTAGACCACCAAGGGGCACAATAGTGGTGGTTTCAACAAATTTGCTTGTTTGTTTTAATTGTGCTTAGTTTGTTTTAATTGTGTTTATGTGTGAATATAATTCAACACTTCCTTTCTCCATAATGTCTACTACTTACACATAGTTGACACACATTGAAGTCCGTATGTTGTTCAATCTTTGTAGATGGATAACGTGCGAGACATATTACTAATTCTCACTCCTTTGGAATAGATTGTTCTTGGTGCTCGTTTTTTTTATAGTAGGTAGTTACTACTACCACAAATTCATACTCCCTCGCCGTCGTCGACCTTCGTTGACTAGCGGAATCACATACCGATTGAGGGATAGAGTGGATCTTCAAGTCAGTCATATGCAAAGGCTAGTCGACGTTAGCGACACCACTTGCCTTGAGAACCTCCGTTTGGACAGAAACTGTTTTGGTCGCCTTTGTTTCCTCCTTGAAAATTTAGGGGATCTTGTTCAATCAAGGAACGTTGCACCAAGTGAACAAGTTGCTATGTTTCTATCAATCCTCGCACATCACAAGAAAAACGTCACCTTGAAGTTTGATTTTACGATATCAGGTAGAACCGTAAGCAAGTACTTTAACCGTGTACTTGATGCGGTAATCTGCCTTCACACCGTCCTAGTCGCCACACCT